CACTCCGCAACAAATAGTCTCCGAAACGGATTGAAGCGCGCATGTGAAGATGTGAAGATTGTGCGTGAGCCACGAGATACACTGTAACCGCGCTACCGATCGCAAGCGGCAAAGAGCCCTTTGATCACTTGATTTAAAAAACAACGTATTTTAGGGCTAGATCGCTTCTTTTATTTTACAAACGAACTAAATTAATGGTCTGTCAGTTGGAGATGTTTTATTTATTTCTACTGTTAGATCCGTGCCGCGAGAGCTTTTAATAGTGGTGGGGACAATATCGACCCTGGCAAAAAGTGGTGGGGACATGTCCCACCCGTCCCACTCGCAAATTACGGGGACATTCTAAAACGCTTAACGTGAAAAACGCTTAACGTGGCTTACTGTACTAAGACAGTGATATTAAAAGACCAAATTCAGTACACATCATATTAATAAACCATACTATGTATAAAAAAATAAGATGAGTCCAGAATATCAACACAACGCGATTAATAACACGTTAAGCATTTTCTTCCCATAGAAAACCGTTATGAGAAAACGCTTAACGTGGCTTACTGTACCAAGACAGTGATATTAAAAGACCAAATTCAGTACACATCATATTAATAAACCATACTATGTATAAAAAAATAAGATGAGTCCAGGATATCAACGCAACACGATTAATAACACGTTAAGCATTTTCTTCCCATACAAAACCGTTATGAGAAAACGCTTAACGTGGCTTACTGTACCAAGACAGTGATATTAAAAGACAAATTCAGTACACATCATATTAATAAACCATACTATGTATAAAAAAATAAGATGAGTCCAGGATATCAACGCAACACGATTAATAACACGTTAAGCATTTTCTTCCCATACAAACCGTTATGAGAAAACGCTTAACGTGGCTTACTGTACCAAGACAGTGATATTAAAAGACCAAATTCAGTACACATCATATTAATAAACCATACTATGTATAAAAAAATAAGATGAGTCCAGGATATCAACGCAACACGATTAATAACACGTTAAGCATTTTCTTCCCATACAAAACCGTTATGAGAAAACGCTTAACGTGGCTTACTGTACCAAGACAGTGATATTAAAAGACCAAATTCAGTACACATCATATTAATAAACCATACTATGTATAAAAAAATAAGATGAGTCCAAGATATCAACACAACGCGATTAATAACACGTTAAGCATTTTCTTCCCATACAAAACCGTTATGAGAAAACGCTTAACGTGGCTTACTGTACCAAGACAGTGATATTAAAAGACCAAATTCAGTACACATCATATTAATAAACCATACTATGTATAAAAAAAATAAGATGAGTCCAAATATATCAACGCAACGCGATTAATAACACGTTAAGCATTTTCTTCCCATACAAAACCGTTATGAGAAAACGCTTAACGTGGCTTACTGTACCAAGACAGTGATATTAAAAGACCAAATTCAGTACACATCATATTAATAAACCATACTATGTATAAAAAATAAGATGAGTCCAGAATATCAACGCAACGCGATTAATAACACGTTAAGCATTTTCTTCCCATACAAAACCGTTATGAGAAAACGCTTAACGTGGCTTACTGTACCAAGACAGTGATATTAAAAGACCAAATTCAGTACACATCATATTAATAAACCATACTATGTATAAAAAAATAAGATGAGTCCAGGATATCAACGCAACAACGATTAATAACACGTTAAGCATTTTCTTCCCATACAAAACCGTTATGAGAAAACGCTTAACGTGGCTTACTGTACCAAGACAGTGATATTAAAAGACCAAATTCAGTACACATCATATTAATAAACCATACTATGTATAAAAAAATAAGATGAGTCCAAGATATCAACACAACGCGATTAATAACACGTTAAGCATTTTCTTCCATTGAAACCATCATGAGAAAACGCTTAACGTGGCTTACTGTACCAAGACAGTGATATTAAAAGACCAAATTCAGTACACATCATATTAATAAACCATACTATGTATAAAAAAAATAAGATGAGTCCAGAATATCAACGCAACGTGTTTAATTACATGTTAAGCATTTTCCTCCCATAGAAAACCATAAGAAAACGTTGCGGAGTAAAAAAAAAAAAAATCCCCTTCAACGGCCTTTTGTGAACACGCCCCATTTTAGAGGACAAGGTTGCCTACAACCAATCACAAATCTTTGTTTTTGGATGTCCAATCACCACACAATGTAATCTTTTGAAATCCGTGTAACTGTCATTTGTAGGTATATATAAGGCAATGTCAGTGGCACTGACACCACAAACTGTCATTTGTGCAGTCACCTTGCTAGTCGCTGTATAGATCATTAAGTTCAGATTTTTGGAATCGAAATTTCTTTATAAAAAGCCTTTTTAAAGGCTACAACTCATTTTCACTGGTGTCATTCTAATTACCAGGGTATTCTTAATATACATATATTATATAATATTATATTATAGTTATATATTATTACTAATATTATAGTATATTATATTATAGTATAGTATTTTATATTTTGTTGTATTTGTTTGTTTTGTCTTTTTTCCCCCTTTATTGTATATTCACATTGACACAGGTGAATATAAAAAATGACTTTAATGCAAAGACAGTCAGAGTTTACACTTAAAGAAGCAGAAGCAATTCTAGATGATGTTGAAAAATACAAGGAGTTAATTTCCACCGAACCACCATTACATCCAAAGGGTGGTGATGTGTTCCTTTACACAAGTTCACAGTCAGATAAACCTAACATGGACTTTAGGTTTGATCAAATGATGTGGAAGCAGAAGGGTTCAAATTATCACAACATCAGAAAGTATGGGGGAAGGGTTTTAAAACGCTACTATCACATTAGAGCTGGTGAATGTGAAAAAGGCACCTCCTCAGAATTCAGGAAGTGCGTTTACTCTCTTGTTAATGAGGAAAAAAAATCCTATTTGATTCATTACCTGGGAAATGAGAGCGTATATGTACCACGAAAGCATGGAAATGCCAAAACGGACCGAGTATTTATTCCCTCCAAAAAAGAAGTTTTCTCGAACATACTTTTAAACGATCACGGTCAAGCCCCGTCAAACATCTACAAAACTGTCCTTGCTAAAACAGGCAGTGTTAATCTGGAGCACATGGCAGTAAACACACCACGAAACCTTAAACAAGTCCAGAACACAGTATATGCACAAAGATGCAACCAACGAATATCACGAGATGAACTGTTTAGTTTGCATGAATTGGCATACCAACTACCAGGTTTCATATGGAACATTACAACGTTCCCGGACCTTCTTGTTTATGCTGGCATGACAGACATTGTTGATTTGGCATGTGCAAACTTAGATGAATCAGTGAGGTTTGAGTACCCACAAATGATTAGTTATGACACAACATTTCAAATGGGGGATTTTTATGTGTCTGTGCTGGCTATGAGAAACACTGCACTGGTCAATGACCCAGTGTATCCAGTTGGCTTCATGCTACATGAACGTAAATTCATGCAACACCATGAGAAATTTCTGACTGAGATTTTTGGAAAGCTGGGAATGGACTCAAAAAAATACCAAAAGATACCAGTGACAGTTGACAGGGAGAAAGGAATTGTAGGTGCTTTGAAAAAAAACTTTCCCAATCTAAGTGTAGTGTTCTGCCGCAACCACATCTTGCGAGATGTGGAATATTGGGTTAAGACACATGGGGGGAAAAGGGATGATGTGAAGGTCCTAAAAGACCATGTTGAGCAGCTCATTGATTCCTCCTGTCCAGATGAGTTTGATGCCCGCTATGATGCCTTCGGAAAAGTATGGTCAGAAGGATTCCTCTGCTACTTTGACCATCACCTGAAAGCAGACATTTGTGAAAACATGGCTGCATACTACACCAAACAATTCTGTGCATTTAAAGACAAAACACCAACAAACAATATAAGTGAGAGCATCAACAAAATGATAAAATCCCAAAATGAATGGCGAGAACTTCCAGTGGACGCAATGGTGCTCTCACTGTACTACATGCAGTCATACTTTTTATTTGAATTTCAGAGGGCAAAATGTGGCTTGGGAAATTATGCAATGAAGCAGAACCTCAGTGTAGCAGTGACGGATGTGAAAATGCCCCCTTTTCTTCCTTTGGAAGAAATCATCAAAAGAATAAAGACCAACACAGAAAATGAGCCATGCAAAGTTGAAGGAGTGAAACTTCTGTCTTCTCAGACATCTTTGGCCAAGACAGTCATTGAAATGGGTCTGGTGAGTCTAAATCCATCATTGAAAGTGTTTGTCGTGAAAAGTCCCTCAAACGAATCAGTACATGTAGTTCGGAATACTGCAAATGGTGCATTATGCTCTTGTCCCAGCACTGGAAAATGCTACCACATTTTTGCAGTAGAAATGGCTACGGGGCTTCACTTTGCTACAAATCGAACATACAGCCTCTCAGTGATGCGGAAGAGAGGGAGAGGCAATGAAACAAAATCGGGCCGGAAAAAACCCAGAACAAAAGATTATGATTATATGGTGAACCCAGCACCAGACTCTTTACTGTCTTCATTGCCTGACTCTCTGGTAGACAACATTCCACAAATTCCAATGGATGCTGAAAACGAGGACAAAACAAAAGATCAAAATAAGTCTTCCGATACAGCTGCTCTGTCTAAGGAGCCACCACAGACTGATGCTGGGAAAGATACTTGCCAGTTTGGGTGCTCATATGAATCCGCCTCTTTGGTGGACAGCATGCCATCAATTTCTTTGAATGCTGAAAATAAAAAAAATACAGAGCAGGAGTGTTCTGATAAAGCTACATTGTCAAATGTGCCTTCACAACCTGAAAAAGAGGACAACACTTACCAGTTTTGGCTTTCAAATGGTGACAGTCTGCCTCTAGAACCACATCTTTCCAGAGTATCTACACCAAACAGTGCAGGGGATTCCTTTGCTCCTTGGATGGGCATCAATGACATTCATGACTGGGCAAAGGTCTCTCCAAAA